AGGCGTTTTATTCAACGGTTTTCTCGTACGACACCACGTTATATAACGTATAATTCAAAAATTTGTTCTATTTTCTTTTTGCTTTGAAGGGAGAGAAAGGGAGACACGCAGACTCCCAACTCGTCTCCGAAGTCGCCCTCCTGGGTAGAGAGCGCGGAGGCGAGTTCGCCCAAAAGGGCGAGAAAATGTCTGTTTTTGGGGGGAGAGACCCCGACAACGTAAGTCCACATGTTACTACATTTACAAATAGAAATCGTTTTTTTAATGCGCGGTATACACGTTTTAAAACCATTCCATAGAAAGCATTCGCTTGATTTAATGGTAGTCTTTTTTTCTGTTCTGCGCGATACAATGCATACGGTCTCTGATAATTCTAAAATGTATTCTGTTACTTCTTCTCTGAAGGGCGAGAAACGGTGACACCACTCCGACAACTCGGAACTCGCCCTCCTGGGTGGAAACCCCCAGCCCGAGGCATGTGAGTATCATTTATTCATTCATTTTCACTCATTCATTTCATTCATTCATTTTTTTATAGACGCGACAATTAACCAGTAATCTTAAGTTTGTTTTATTCTAATTCCAATTCCTTTTCTTTTTAATCCTTTCAGAAGATCTTACTCCTCGTGGCTGAGGCGAACCAGTTACTGAGGAAAGTAGAGGAGTTAGTAGAATTTATTTAGGAAAAAAAATGATTACTATTTTGGCTGTAAAAGTAAATTAATTTTTTTTTAAATTTGGAAAAAAAAAGAATTAAAAAACCAAAAATACAGGAACGGATAGAGTTTAGTTAGAAACCATTACTATTTTGGCTGTTTGGGAAAGTTAAAAAAAAACCACACCAGACTTTTAAAATTATAAAGAAATTTTAAAAAACCCTAAAAACAAAACTTCTATGAAATTAGGGTCTTTTGGAATAATGTGTTGGGGGGTTCTTTTTTGATATATGTCGACCGAGTACACGAAATCTCGGCCGCATTATTATAAGAGATTCACCCGACTAAAATGAACGACAGAACTCGGAGGAAAACGAGGATTTCTCGATATCTGAACGCTCTTGGAATTTACAGTGGATTTATTGTGCTTTCGGATTTGTTTATTCGTTGGAACGTCATCGACATACTGTGAGTATTGTGTGTGTGAGTATTGTGTTTTTATTTGTTATGGTCAAGAGCGCTGTCACAAATCACGGTCCTCGCGAGAGGGATGAAAATGAATTCCCACCGTATGGCGGGCCGCTCTCAAATGACGGTCCTTGCCGAGAGACTTTGCCTTCGTCTCCCGCAGCGCGGGGTCGCTCTCGCGGAAACGTTCAACGAGGCTTGTTCAGGGCTGGGGGTCTTTTATTCTATCAGCCCTAACACAGCATTCTTATGCCAATGGAATGTAAACGGTCTCAAATAGCGTATGAATGAACTGGCTTATAAGGGCTTGTTACTACACCGTTTTTTCGTCTTTGTTTTTGTCTTGTATTCTTTCAAACCGTCAGTTCATTACGATCACTTTCACGTACTATACAAAAAAAGGAAGTTGAAAATCAATCAATCAATCAATAAATAATGAAAATACGTAATTCGGTTCTCACCTCAGTTGAAATTGAATTTGTGGGACCGCCACACAGTTTTCAAAACGATGACTCGAAGGAAATGACGCTGACGTAGGGACGCTACGTTCATATATTTTTATAGGCTTTGTTCTATCGGTACTCCTTTTGATTGGCTAAATTATGATCGAAAACCAATCACCACTCATCTCCAAACCATTGTACAGCGAGGGACGCTATGGGACCATATTTGGCATAGCGTCTTTCGTGACGTCATCGGGTTGATTGCCTCTCATTGGCCGCTTTTTCCACTTGGACCGTATTTTTCCATCGCGTGATCCGTGACGTCATCGACACTTTGTGTCCTGACGCTGGGAATAGGCCACGCCCCCCGAAACGTTTTGATCGAAAATTCGATTTAACAGAGGTATATACAACACTCACTATCGCCTGAGTACCATGTATTTGGTAGGTATTTCATCCTTCTACTGTGTTTACATATCATGTATATTATTGCCACAAATATGTGTGGAGAATTATGTATTTTCTATCATGATTATTATTGTGAGATTTTGCTGCTGATAATCTGCATAATACCTTTTGTGAACTGGATATATTTATCATTTATATGTCTTATTGGAATTTATGCAGTTTTATGTAATTTGTATCACATTAAATATACATGTCTATGTCTAAATATAGATATGCCTGTATTTAGACAGACATATAATTATTATCTGTAACTATAATGTGCAATTTGACTGGTATAGATGTGATAATGAGTGTGTCATTGATTATTGATCATTGTATATCATTATGTTACAGGGTGAAAACAAAATATACAGTATATTTGAGTAATAAACTTGTCACAGCTCATACCCCACCAGGCGTGGTTTTCATTTGAACAGTACCACCCCTTACGCTGCTGTATTTACAGAGCTTTAAACTGAGTACTAAACTTTATTTGCTCACACCCCAGTAGCTGTGTTTTTCTTCCAGAGCCCCGTCCGCTACTACGGTTGTAGCGTCCCGTTAGATCTGTGGGAATTCATATAAGGGTAATGCTATTTTGAGGGCATTATCATTTGCAGAAGCCCGCGGTCTTCCAAAAGACCGAGGGCTTCTGCAAATGATAATGCCCCTCAAAAATAGCATTACCGTTATTATTGCTAAAATACATGGAATTTGTGTTGAAAAGAAAAAGGAAACAATGAAGGAATTTGACTGTAAGTTTACTCAAAACCAACTTCTGACGGGGTTGACTGCCCGAATGCAATTACGTCATCGAACAATTCAAGTGACGTCACAACAGAAAGTGACGATATTCGACCTTGGCCTTTGACAAGACCATAGCCTGCAACATGCCAAACCATGTCAGTGTTCGGTTTTGGTCCAACAACAACGTTAATAGTGCAATTGTTAAGGTTAGGACCAGCAAGAAAGCCAATATTACCGCTATTTATAGCGGAAATTCGGGTTGCTTTGACTTGTTTGACCCAGAATATCTGCCAGTCCAAAGCCAATGTCGAATGAACCGACGCACCCAATATGACGTCACTTGACAACAGAACTGATAGTGGCTTGTCGTTAAGGTTGAGCGGTCAAATATCATTTGCAGCGGCCCGCAAATTTCTGATAATAGGAGGGCCGTTTCATGATGATTCCATGTATTTTAGCAATAAAAAAAAAGTAGTACATGCAATTGTATTATCACAATAGGTCTATATATATATATATCGTTTCTTCACAAGCCCAATGCGGCTTGACCCCGTCGTTGTCAAGTTGGTGTCTATAACCGGGATAATGGCGTTGTTGTAGTAACAGAAAATGAACTGAACCCTGTACATGTGTACAAGATTGATGACCCCGCCTACCTCCCCATTAAAATCAGCATCACACACACACCAAAACACACCACACACACACACACTCTCTATCCCTGCCTGGCACTCGGCATTAATGGGTACAACAAGGACTGGTCGGCTCGGAGTCAGTATAATGTGTCTGAGTGGGGTATTCATGCTTCACTGCGGCATGGTATCTCAGTGGGCTAGCACTATAAACCCAGCTTCAGTCTGGGCTAGTACAAGCAGCTGCACATACACATACACACGCATGCACGTCGTCATATGAGCGAAATATTCTCAAGCACGACGTTAAACCCAATTTCACCTCACCTCTTGTGGGACGAAATTAGTGAAAGTCTTTCGCGGCGACAACAGATGCGCAACATCCGGGAACTTGAGGCTGCACTTCTGCAGAAGTGACATGCCATCCTCCAGAACTCTATTCGGACGCTTATTGCCTCAACGAGGAGACGTTGCACTGCATGTGTCAATGCAAATGGCGGTCACACGCGATATTGACTTTTCGATTTGACCCCACGTGTGTTTGATCCTTTCTGACTGTGGAACATTTAAATGAAATGAGCGTCTTTTCTGTGTGTTTTTTTTCAGTCGTCCATCTATTATTATCCACTGAAAAATATTAATTGCTTACCCGTGCTTTTAGTAATCTGAACTTTTGTAAGTGGTGCGTTTTCAATGTTGGTGAGTATATATATGGGCGAACAGGAACTTTACCAGGATGTATGCATGAAAGAGAAACTGTGGTTAAAGTGTAAAGTAAATAAACAATTGAATTCTAAAAGGAAAGAGGATTTCTGTCACATTCGCCGACTGTTTGATAAAAGTGCGAAGAGAGCTCAGCCAGGTTACCAACAGAAGAAAATAGATGAACTTTTTTTTTTCCAGGGGCTTTATCTATACCCTCCAAAATATACGCTGACGTCATCAATCACAAACTGTTTAAACACATCGAGTCCCGGGACATGCTGGTCTACGAGCTGAACGGTTTTAGTAGAGGACGAACCTGTCGTGATCATGTATATAGTTTATATAGCATTGTAAATAACAGAAAAAAAGCAGCAACATATCTAGACTTATCCTTGTGTGGTCGTTAAGAAGGCATTTGACTTCGTAAACAATGACTTGTTGTGGTGTAAACATGTGGACTATGGTATATCAGGCAAAACTCTTCAAGCCATCAGATCACTGTATGACAATGTTTTAGGTTCGACAATGTTTTAGGTTCTGTGCAAAACAACATCCATGAAACGGATATCTTCTCTGTGGAATCTGGTGTGATGCAAGGATGTGTTTTATCCCCCCACGCTGTTCGCCATATACACAAATGATCTTGCTGTTGAGTTGAAAGAGCACCTGTTGACAATTGTAATGTATCCGTTTTATTATATGCTGACTGTCTTGACTCGATAGATGCACACCCTATCAAGAATATTATTGAGATACACCTTATTCGGGTCCACATTTGAGGTCACAATGTCACTGAGCGAAACTTCAACGATTTCAACGGAGACAATATGTGGTGATCTCAGGCGAAAGCTAGTGAACTAAATGCTAGTGAAATAAATGTGAAGTCTGAAGTAAATACTCACCGCTCCAAGGAAAAGTTTGATCAGCTCGCTGTTGTGTTTGTAGTGTAAGTGTATCCGGGTTATTGTTTATCGATGTGCGCGCACCAATGGGTACTGTCCTCAACACAGGGTTCTATTGTTTCACTGCTCTAACCTTTTCCAGGAGTCATCTTGAAATGCTTGGGATTATGTTTGGCTACTCTCTTTTCAGTTACCAGGGGTATCTAACTAACACCTTGGGTACCCTCTGATCACAAGGATAAAGTTACGTGTGGCTTAGAATAGCGGACCAATCAAATAACAGCGACATAGGGACCACCTGCTTTGACTCTGACAGGGGTATTTAATACCATTGCTGAGTAGACAAGTGTCATGTGGCTTTCCTTCACAGTAATCCATTGTGTGTGGGTGTTCCTCTCATCAACCTCTCTGTTGAAAGACAACCGTTCCTTCATTGTTGTGATGCAAAATTTGTTCATTCTCACATTCTCATAACCCTCGATGTCTTCATTTTCCGAGAAATCTCAATAAGAATGAATATTATATTAATGTGAAGGTGTTTCTTAATTATAAGCTACAATTTTCGTAAATATGAACCTTGCTACTACGTTTATTAAAACAAAATATATGTTTCATTAACATCCAACTTTGAGGTGTCGTGTTGTAAAAGATGTAAAATCTGTTCCCTTGCAGTTCGTTATTGTTACATATTCGCTCTCATCTCTCGGATGTAGCGTAGTTTTCAAAGTAGACAGTCGAACATATCTTCAGCTTGTCGAAACCCGTTCAGTGTGGGACCACTTGGCTCGTGCCAAGACTAACATCTAGTCTCTGAAAGTAACTAATTCTACAGATAAAGTGAGTGAGTGAGTTTAGTTTTACTCCGCACTCAGCAATATTCCAGCTATATGGCGGCGGTCTGTAAATAATCGAGTCTGGACCAGACAACCCAGGCCGGGATCAACAGCATGAGCATCGATCTGCGCAATTGGGAACCGATGACATGTGTCAACCAAGTCAGCGAGCCTGACCACCCGATCCCGTTAGTCGCCTCTTACGACAAGCATGGGTTACTGAAGATCAATATTCTAACCCGGACCTTCACGGGTATTACAGATAAAGAATGTTCATAAGAAATAATCATTAAAAACCGAAAAGGAGCCCAGAGACGTTCTCCATTTTCAGAGAACTGTGGAAAAATAGACTTGCCACATATCGTAGACTTGCATGGGCTTTTTGGGATATATTTGTTTCAGTATGTAGTTCAGTTTCTGTATGACAGATAACCCGTGCCCTGGGTCATGTGACCACTGACCACTGCTGTCAGGAGTGTTCTTGCCTCCTGGGGGTTTCGTTCCATGGGTTCACCCTATCCACAATGAACAGTAAAGTCGCGCAGTAGAAGGACTAGCTCTCTGTATTCCTTTCCCCGCTTACATCCATACATGTTCCTTAAAATGCATGTACTTTTAGAAATTCAGTCTAAATGTGACCAGCTCTTCAAGACAACAACTCTGCTGGTAGGGGTGAGGACATTTTATTTCGTAGGGTAGTCGGTGAATCACAATCAACAAAATATTACAAAACATCACCCTGAAACATTTGACAAATTATCAAATGGACAGCAAAATCATTCTAGGAGAATGTTCTATATAAACATGTCTCAATATTTTACAGGTTGCAATAATTAAAAGATAGTCATGTTACACAAATCAGAGACCATATATATACACACACCACAGTCAAAACATTCACACTGTACTGAAGAAAAATAACCCCTTACCCATCTATGGAATGGAGTTTACAATTCTACCCTGTTTGGCACCTACAAACAACATTTTCCAATTTCACACAATTGCAAAGGCATACACAAGTGCATACACTACAGTTACATGTTATGCTAGAAATAATTTGCTAATTATTTATTTGTAGTATTTCCTAAGTCTTATTCAAGCATAATATAAATAACAACTTCTAACTTGATTAAATTCAATATTAATATACTTCTAAATAATTATAATTATTATTGAAAATAGACATTATTTTATTTTTGCGGTACTAGATCTATAATAACGTGTCAGTCTGAAGATATGATTGCGTTTGTAAATACGGAAGTAGGAAATCCCCGCCGAAAACGAGGCCATTGTGGGAAAGCCCTTCCTGTCCACGTGTTGTAAACACAGGTCACAGGAATGCCTCCAAGGAGAAGACCGGCGACATCACCGCCGTTAGTGGCAGGAGGATTACACAAGGTTCAACAAGATGGGGACACGGCCAGTAGCAGTGACAAAAAACACGTAAGAGACTGCCAGACTTTGTACAATGCAACTGCTTCACTGATTGACGCAGGTTCGGTCAGACCTCTATCAGAAAAAAAATAAATAAATGGGGAGGTTCATGAATATAATGAAGATATCGACACAGCAGTGAAAAGCAGTTACTGCCTACATGCAGATTTGCTGCTGTGTCATCTCTCTAAATCTCGGTTTGGTTTCACTGACATTGTGTAAAAATCGGGGAAAGATGGTGAAGCCTAAAGGTTCTCCCCAGTCTGGGGCCATTGGTCTAATATACAGTACTAGTACTATATCTACGTACAGTGTCAGAAGTGGCAATATCTAAATTTTATCCTCACTGCAAACTGTTGATATATTTCAGATATGTTTTTCAACTATTACTGTATAAAATAAAAATATGAGGCTTTTAGTCTTATGACAGGATATGTGATATTATGCTGTTTTGAATCGGTCAAATGAAAGAAACTGATGATAAAATAAGTAAACCATGAAATTAACAAACTTTATGGATAACAACTTCTTTATTACAAGATTGTGATGTTTTTCGACACAGGTTCTTGTACCAATGTCATTTGTTAGTTTTGTAACTTCCCAGCTTATACCTTATGTAAATTGTAATAATTTGTCTTGTTATAGTATTGGAATGTGTCCAGGTGTAATCAGCCCATGACATGCTGTTTCTGCATGAGTATATGGGTCTTGGTGAATTAAGTTAAAGGTTGACTCTACAGTGTTTGATTTGCATTTTCAAGGTCAAGAAGTCCAAGAAGTCTGTTACAGAGACTCAAGGGAGAAGTCTGACAAGCCGATGTGTCGCTTCCCTCAAATACATCCTTCTGTTCATTATAATCCCACCGTTCATCAACTACGCCTCTCTCCAGAAGGAATACAGCTCTCTGAAACCCACAGGTACATCAAACATCGGCCATACCTCGTGTAGTTATTGTCTGAGAAATGTGTACCCTGAAGGAATATCTCGTATATTATGTGCATTGTACTGTTGATGTATCTAGTTGTGTGGTAAGTAGTTTCAAAGGAACTTTTCTGTCTCTACTGTTTGTTCTGATGCACATCACTGGTTCAAACCTACTTGTATTATAGTTCAGATGACACTGTTAGAAATGAATGATGAATGAATGATAATTGATTTGTATAGCGCCTGGTTTCCAGATTGGACATGACTGCTCAACGGCGCTTGTTGAAGTGAGCGGAAAAAAGATATGTCTTCAGATGAGTTAGAAAAGAGTCTTTTGTTTCACATTTTCTACTTTCCAGTGGTAGGGCATTCCACAGTTTTGGAGCTGCAAAAAAAAGAAAGAAACATACTAGCATAGTGACAACATGTTCCCAGTGACCAAAGGGCAAGCTGCTCCTGCTGCAATACCTTGTGGAAATGTTTGTTGTATGAAGGCAAAAACAATGAAACATGGTAAATTGTGGGCATGAGGGCACAATATGCCCAGTGTGATTTACACTGGGTTTGGGGTTTTCAGAAATAAAAGATGGTATAATCAATTGTAATGAAAGAGAACTTTCAAAATTGCAACACTTGTTGATGTTCCTCTTCAAATTCACTTTATCATGCAGCAAGAAATGTAATGTTTAACGGCAAGTCAATGTAGTCCCTGCTGTGCTGACTCCCATTATGTACAACGGAAATGTACAGTTGCTTCACCATGGTCATAATTATATTAACAAGACTTACTACAAGATTTAATGAACTGTGAAATGTTTTCTGTGCTATACTTTGCCTGTTGTACATGTCAGGAGGGATATTTTCTGTTACGTGAGAAAGCCTACCAAAGTTGTGAAAACTTGTACGCAATCTTTTAAACACGTGAATAATACATGTTTGTAATAAAACTTATATATTTCAAAGGGCATGCCTATACATTTCAACAGGTAAACTGTAGCTTGTACTGTTGTTTTAAGGTAAACTGTATAATGTAATGTTGTTTCAACGGGTAAACTGTGGCATGTTTTGTTGTTTCAACTGGTAAACTGAAGAATGTATTGTTGTTTCAACAGGTAAAGTGTAGCACGTATTGTTGTTTCAACAGGTAAACTGTAGCACGTATTGTTGTTTCAACGGGTAAACTGCAGCATGTATTGTTCTTTCAACAGGTAAACAGTAGCATGTATTGTTGTTTCAACAGGTAGGCTGTATGATCGATGTATTGTTGTTTCAACAGGTGAGCTGTATGATGTTGGCTGGGGACAGAAGCTGTTCATGATGTGTGAAGGCAAGGGTCCACCCACAGGTATGCCATCACACTTTACTCATGGGTTTCATTAAAAGCAAGCCAAAATATGGGGTAAAACATACTACATTGCCATGATCATAATGTTTGAGGTGAGGTGAGGTGAAATATGGTTTAACATCGTGCTTGAGAATATTTCGCTCATATGACGACGTGCATGAGCCTGTATGTGTATGTGCGGCTGCTTGTACTAGTCCAGAATGAAGCTGGTTTTATAGTGCTATTCCACTGAGATACCATGCTGCAGTGAAGCATGAATACCCTACTCAGACACATTATACTGACTCCGAGCCGACCAGTCCTTGTTGTACCCATTAATGCCGAGCGCCAGGCAGGGACCAACAAGTACATTTTAACGTCTTTTGGTATGACGCGGACGGGGATCGAACCCGCGACGTTCCGCTCTCCGGGCGGATGCTCTAACCACTACACCACGGAGGCGGTCCATAATGTTTGATAGAAGCAGACAAATCCTTTCATGAGTATAGGGGTGGTGGGGTGGCCTGCTGGTTTCGCTTGTCACTCACAATCCTTACCAGTGGTAAGATGGCCAGAGATATATCCGATCAAACCTGATAGAAGTAGCTGGTAGCAAGTGCTTATGTACTTACTGGTATATGGTAGAGCTTCTCACTAGTGGATATGCTTGTTGCAGTGGTTCTAGATGCTCCTACAGGGATGACCTCAGATGTGTGGACGCTGGTGTGGCCTAAGCTGTCTAAACATGCCAGGGTAAGGAAACATAGCAGCCCTTGGTGTCTCGAACAATTCAATATCAGATCATTATGGTTGTGGCTATGTTTGGAGAAATATCATTAGAGCGGAAGTTAAGTGTGTTGTGACATTTTGGACATGTTCTCTGAAGCCACAGGCTTTTGAAGCTGAAACTTATCCTGGATCATCCAGGGGAGATAAGTCTGGATTTGATTTCTCTTAAAGAAGTATGCACACCTTGGGACATGACTGTTTCTCGAAATGAATGTGCTGTTGTAAACAAATGTGTGATGTGTGTGGTGTTATTGAGTGTGTGATCTGTTACAGGTGTGCATCTATGACAGGGCAGGACTTGGATTCAGTGAACGACCCTACGTTGTGAGTACCAGCCTACGACATGTCCTCACCCAGTTTAAATGTCATCGTCACCAGGTGTATAAAAGTGTATCAGCTTCGTGACCAAGACTGATTCATGAACTTGACACACAGATTTGACACACAGACCACATGGGTACAATGTGTGAAACCCATTTCTGATGTCCCCTGCCTGATATTGCTGGAATATTGCTAAAAGCAGCGTAAAACCATACTCACTCGCTCACAGCTTCATGGCACACAGATTAATATGCATGCCCCTGATTCATGAATGTCAAACATAGTCATGAAAATGATATTTGTAAACAGGATTTTCATGAACATTACACAGATTCAAAAACATGAGACAGATTTATCAAAACTATGCACATATTCAACAAGGTCAGATTTGTGAAAATGAATCTGTTGTTGGGATACACGTATAAGTGAGCAGACGGCATGTATGTTTGTGACTGTATCCTCAGAACCAGTCCCAGACTCAGGAAGAGCGGAAGTACACCAGGAACCAGTGGCAGCCATACACGGGGGAGAGGTGAGGCCATCGGGGACACGCTCCCATCTACAGTCTGCACTACACACTAACACTTATTATCCCCCACTGCGCGTTTAGCGCGAAGCCGGGGATATAGTATTAGGCTCCGTCCGTACGTACAAATTAGAATATCTTATGAACCGTTCACTAGGTTCTTTTCATATTTGGTACCTAGTTTCATCACAGTATAAGAAAGGTCCAACTCAGGTTTGGTGACCTTGACCTTCATTTCAAGGTCACAAGGGGGACTTTAACATTTTACCTGCATGTTAAGCTATATCAAGAAACTTTCACTGGATTTTCTTCATATTCAATACCAAGTTTTATCTAGGGAAGGCGCAGGGCCCAGTCAATTTTGGTGACCTTCACTTAATTTGCAAGGTCACAGAGACACTTTGAAGATTTCAGCATATTAGCCTACATGTTATGCTTGTCAGCGAGATACTGCAAGAACCATTCACTGGAGTTTCTTCATATTTGATACCAAGCTTCATCCAGGGAAGGCGCAGGTCCCAGTCGATTTTGGTGACCTTCACATAATTTTTAGGGTCACGACGACACTTTGAAGATTTCAGCATGTTAACCTGAATTGTCAGCAAGATATTTTAAGACGTTTCACTGGATTTTCTTCATAGACTTTTAAAACTTCTCTTGAATGTTTTTCAATAAGCAATTTCTTTAGTACTAGTTTTTACATATTTCATACACTATGACATTCATGTCAAGGTCAAAGTCAGTCTTGAAAATATGTGTGTGTTTGAACAACTAAAGAGACAGATATCAAGAGAGGTTGATTAGTCATGTTTTTGTTGACGTTTAACTTCATCTTAAACTTTCATTACTTTATAAGTTTGATTTGATAATTTGCAGCGGGGGATTATGTCACCTTAGTGACAATGCTTGTTTGTGACTTATAACTGAATCGTACTGAACATACATGAGTAGCCCAATGTCACGTGATTAGTGAGTTTGAAGTCATTTTGTATTGTTTTGTATTGTTTTCCTCATCTTGGGATGCATCAGTGTAGTGATTGTTGCCAGGATGGTGGATGACTTGAACCAGCTCTTCACTGTCAGCAGTCAGCAGCCTCAACCATTCATTCTGGTGGGAGCAGAGCTCGGGGCGCTGGTCAGCATGTTCTACACCCAGATGTATGAGGGGTGAGTTGTACACTGACATGTACGAGGGATGAGTTGTACACTGACATGTACGAGGGATGAGTTGTACACTGACATGTACGAGGGATGAGTTGTACACTGACATGTACGAGGGGTGAGTTGTACACTGACATGTAGGAGGGGTGAGTTGTACACTGACATGTACGAGGGGTGAGTTGTACACTGACATGTAGGAGGTGTCAGATGTTTGTTGGCATGTACGAGGGATGAGTTGTACACTGATATGTAGGAGGGGTGAGTTTTACACTGACATGTACGAGGGATGAGTTGTACACTGACATGTAGGAGGGGTGAGTTGTACGCTGACATGTAGGAGGGGTGAGTTGTACGCTGACATGTAGGAGGGGTGAGTTGTACACTGACATGTAGGAGGGGTGAGTTGTACACTGACATGTACGAGGGATGAGTTGTACACTGACATGTACGAGGGATGAGTTGTACACTGACATGTAGGAGAGGTGAGTTGTTTGTTGGCATGTAAGAAGGATGAGTTGTACACTGACATGTACGAGGGATGATTTGTACACTGACATGTACGAGGGATGAGTTGTACACTGACATGTACGAGGGATGAGTTGTACACTGACATGTAGGAGGGGTGAGTTGTTTGTTGACATGTACGAGGGGTGAGTTGTACACTGACATGTACGAGGGATGAGTTGTACACTGACATGTAGGAGGGGTGAGTTGTTTGTTGACATGTATGGGGATGAGTTGTACACTGACATGTACGAGGGATGAGTTGTACACTGACATGTACGAGGGATGAGTTGTACTCTGACATGTACGAGGGGTGAGTTGTTTGTTGACATGTACGAGGGGTGAGTTGTACACTGACATGTAGGAGGGGTGATTTGTACACTGACATGTACGAGGGATGAGTTGTACACTGACATGTAGGAGGGGTGAGTCTTACACTGACATGTACGAGGGATGAGTTGTACACTGACATGTAGGAGGGATGAGTTGTACACTGACATGTACGAGGGATGAGTTGTACACTGACATGTAGGAGGGGTGATTTGTACACTGACATGTAGGAGGGGTGAGTTGTTTGCTGATATGTACACTGACATGTCTGAGGGTGAGTTGTACACTGACATGTGTGAGTTGTGAGGGTGAGTTGTACACTGACATGTGTCAGATGTTTGTTGGAGGGGTGAGTTGTACACTGACATGTAGGAGGGGTGAGTTGTACACTGACATGACATGTAGACTGACGAGGGGTGAGTTGTACACTGACATGTACGAGGGGTGAGTTGTACACTGACATGTAGGAGGGGTGAGTTGTACACTGACATGTAGGAGGGGTGAGTTGTACACTGACATGTACGAGGGATGAGTTGTACACTGACATGTAGGAGGGGTGAGTTGTACACTGACATGTACGAGGGGTGAGTTGTACACTGACATGTACGAGGGGTGAGTTGTACACTGACATGTAGGAGGGATGAGTTGTACACTGACATGTAGGAGGGGCATGTAGGAGGGGTGAGTTGTACACTGACATGTACGAGGGGTGAGTTGTTTGTTGACATGTAGGAGGGGTGAGTTGTACACTGACATGTAAAGAGGTTGGTTCTAAACCCAGTGCCATTCGTGACCAGCTCGTGTTATTCCGGGACAAGCCGAATAGCGACTCATGCCCCTCTGGAAGGAGTTCATATTGGCGCAAGAACATCAGAATTACTTTAAACAGGAACGATAACTCTATTCTTGTTTGATTCCAATGGTACTTAATATCACCGAAGTAATCATACATTGTGTTGCTGTTCATGGTTTTAAAGATTTAAACCTTTTTGATACAACTAAAAGAAGGAAAAAAACCTATTTGTTACAGACTTATTCTGACGTAATTATTACCAGATGTTCACCTTATATTTCCAATTATATTTCCAAATAGGGTTTGATAATCACAAATGGGATTTGTTTTATTAAATATGTAAATAAAAGCTACATTAAATCCCAAAGCAGAAAGTCAAAAATGACTGTAAAATATGTCTCAAACTGAACATTAGTGTAACCTTGCTGTCATACCCCAAAAGGAATTTGATGAAATTGAAAACTATATGAATGACCAAAAAAAAAAAGTCAGACTAAAAATATTCCCAGAGAGGTGAAATATATGCCCAATGTTTTAGATTAAAGTTGATTAGTTACATGCAGCTATATGTCCAATATTATTGTTTTGAAACTCGTAGCAATTTATAATTACATTGCCTAAACTTGTTGGAAGCACACATACAATCTCCATAGCAAGCCTGCAAGATCGTCAGAAATACCCTCAGTTGGACCCATGAGAGTCGTAATGTCAACAAGCGCACGTGCGTGTATTTGAATCTCTCACCGTCAATCGCATGATTCTTATCAAAAACTTCATAATAGGCAGCAAATCCTGTCAGCTAAGTTCTTTAAACTTTCAATGTGACGATATATATTTTTCATGCTTTTTTAAACAATGACATAATTAATGCCATAAACGATTTAAGTACTCAGGATTATTTTTACCAAAGCACCGCAGTCATTTACGCCCGTTCTGATTGGTTTGTGGCACATAACAAGCATCGATAGGGGGACAAGTCTTTTTGGAGGCTATGGAAAGAGGTGAGTGGTGACGAATGTGTCATCTGAACTATAATACAAGTAGGAAAGAGGCGAGTGGTGATGAATGAACCCAGTGCATGCACAGTGAGTTCTACACCCAATTGTACAAGGGCTGAAATTTTACAGCAATGCCTATGAGCGTTGACATGAGGTTACCAGGTTACTATGATCCCTGTTGTATGTTTCAGCAATGTCCTGGGCCTAGTACTGATCAACCCGCTGTCAGGGAGGCTGTTTGAGCAGGACCAGGGTGTGTGGACACAGTACTGGTCAGTTTCAGCCACTTTCACCAGCCTTGTGTTTACTTCTAGTCAGGCCTGTTGGGATTCAGTTTCTCTCTGTGTATCGAATGTGTGGACAGAAGCTGTTTCCTTTCCTGTGAAACAAGGAAATACATACCTATAGCATTTGTCTGATTAATATTACCACACTGAGACTTAGTTACTCCCCGTGGTGATAATGGGTTAGGATAGGTCCCAGCAACCTATAGGAGTTGTAAGAGTTCACTAAATGGATCATGTGTTTAGGCTGAAAGATTTGGTTGACACTGTACCTTGTTACTACTACAGGTTTGTCTGTGTCAGACAAGTGTCAATGTTAAACAAGCAGACATACAATGGTCTAATCAGTTAATCATGAAACCCTGAAAATGCCTGATTAAATAAACTTATTTCTCACCGTTTCTAAAATCGACATTCTTCTAGGTTCGGCCAACTGATTCCTACGTATCAGTCCTTTCAACTGGGTGCAGCACTGGGACTCATGAGACTGGCCCTGATGGTGGGCATCCTGAAGCACCCGCTGGCTGGGGTGGAGCTGCCTGCAGAGGTGGAGATGAGGCAGGTCAGTCAGCGGGGGAAGAGGGAGGGTGGAGCTGCCTGTAGAGGTGGAGATGAGGCAGGTCAGTCAGCTGGGGAAGAGGGAGGGTGGAGCTGCCCGTTGAGATGGAGATGAAGCAGGTCAGTCCCGGGGGAAGAAGGAGGGGTGGAGCTGTCTGTTAAGGTGGAGATGAGGCAGGGTCAGTCAGCAGGGGAAGAGGGAGGGTGGAGCTGCCTGTAGAGGTGGAGATGAGGCAGGTCAGTCAGGGGAAGAGGGAGGGTGGAGCTGTCAGAGGTGGAGATGAGGCAGGTCAGTCATCGAGGAAGAAGAGGGAGGTGGAGCTGCCTGTAGAGGTGGAGATGCAGTCAGCGGGGAAGAGGAGGTGGAGTCAGTCAGCGGGGAAGAGGGAGGTGGAGCTGGTAGAGGTGATGAGCAGGTCAGTCCGGGGAAGAGGGAGGGTGGAGCTGTAGAGGTGGAGATGAGGCAGGTCAGTCAGCCGGGGGGAAGAGGGAGGGTGGAGCTGCCTGTAGAGGTGGGAGATGAGGCAGGTCAGTCAGCGGGGAAGAGGGAGGGTGGAGCTGCCTGTTGAGGTGGAGATGAGGCAGGTCAGTCAGTCCCTGGGGAAGAGGGAGGGTGGAGCTGCCTGTAAGAGGTGGAGATGAGGCAGGTCAGTCAGCGGGGAAGAGGGAGGTGGAGCTGCCTGTAGAGGTGGAGATGAGGCAGGTCAGTCAGCGGGGGAAGAGGGAGGGTGGAGCTGCCCGTTGAGGTGGAGATGAGGCAGGTCAGTCAGCGGGGGAAGAGGGAGGGTGGAGCTGCCCGTTGAGGTGGAGATGAGGCAGGTCGGTCAGCGGGGGAAGAGGGAGGGTGGAGCTGCCCGTAGAGGTGGAGATGAGGCAGGTCAGTCCCCGGGGGAAGAGGGAGGGTGGAGCTGCCCGTAGAGGTGGAGATGAGGCAGGTCAATCAGCGGGGGAAGAGGGAGGGTGGAGCAACCCGTTGGGGTGGAGATGAGGCAGGTCAATCAGCGGGGGAAGAGGGAGGGTGGAGCTGCCCGTAGAGGTGGAGATGAGGCAGGTCAATCAGCGGGGGAAGAGGGAGGGTGGAGCTGCCTGTAGAGGTGGAGCTGAGGCAGGTCAATCAGCGGGGGAAGAGGGAAGGTGGAGCTGCCCGTAGAGGTGGAGATGAGGCAGGTCAATCAGCGGGGGAAGAGGGAGGGTGGAGCTGCCTGTAGAGGTGGAGCTGAGGCAGGTCAATCAGCAGGGGAAGAGGGAGGCTGCCTTAAGAGGTGGAGATGAGGCAGGTCAGTCAGCGGGGGAAGGGTGGGGCTGCCGGTTGAGATGGAGCTGAGGCAGGTCAGTCCCCGGGGAAAGAGGGAAGGTTGGCCTGCATGTTGAGGTGGAGATGAGGCAGGTCAGTCCCCGAGGAAGGGTGGGGCTGCCGGTTGAGATGGAGCTGAGGCAGGTCAGTCCCTGGGGGAGGGTTGAGCTGCCCGTTGAGGTGGAGATGAGGCAGGTCAGTCCCCCGGGGGAAGGTGGAGCTGCCTGTTGAGGTGGAGATGAGGCTGGACAGACCCTTTGGGGAAGATGGAGGGTGGAGCAGTTTAGTTCACAGGACAGAGAGATGGTGGAACTACTTTTGGGGTGACGATGAAGCAGGCTCGTCCTGGGGTAAGAAGGAGGATGGCGCTAACCCTCAAGCTTAAGGTGGAGCTACAGGTGAAAATTAGGCAGGTTAGTTCTCAGTGTAGAAAGATGGTGGAACTACCATTGGGGTGGAGAGAGGCAGGCTAGTGTCCGGGATGAGAATGAAGCTGTGTCTATGCTAAGAAGTGGAGCTGAAAGGTGAGTTTTTAAAAGAGAGAGGGCAGAATTGGATATATAGGGCACTCTCAGTGATCTATGAAGTTAGATATTTGTTGTGGAGTTGCCTTATGTTTTGCATGTGTTTTTGTCTGTTGTTTATGAAGTACACTTCTGTGTTGTAGAAATACCTGCTGTGCAACCCCCGACACCTGAGTTCTGTGGTAGATGAGCATCACTTCATCAATGAAACATTTTCACAGATAAAGTGAGAAGCTTCACTGTATATGTTTCAGTGTCACATACCAGTGCATCATGATATGTATACATTGGACTATGTCACCTTAGCTTCTGTTTGGGTCTAGTTTGACGTTTCTTTCATGACTGAAACAATCAGTATTCTGACCAGTTCCCAACCTCTCTTGTTGCCATGGTTACACGCAGTCTCAATTTTGAATAGCGCAAGGACTTCATTTCCCTGTCTCAATACAAATGAAACATCTTTTCCACTTGAAGTTCACTTCAGAGACTCATGATTACATATATTGCAGAGTATTTCATGTTGTATAGCTGGAACTTGTGATCATCAGGAATCTGTGTGACTGGTTGATGATATAAAGCTGCTGAGGTTGAGTGTGTCATTGCCAGTTGGATGGAGATATGATATGGGATGATCATGGATGGTAGGGGTGGTTATTGCAGAGAATTTTAATATTGCAATGCGAGAGCATATATTGCGATATGTATTGCAATATATTGTAAGAAATGTTTTAAAACAAAAATCTACTTATGATTGAAGGTTTTGAAAGGCATTTAGAAGTTGAATACATGACACTTTTATGGATAACAACTTCTTTTTATTCTTTACACACGTTGTTTCAGAGCTAATTCCTGCTCCTTCATCAGGTGAATACTGAGTCAGTACAAAGAGTGAATATATATAGATAAAACATGTTTACACAATACATGGAGGGAGAATGTACAAAGATAACAACATAATTACGTAGCCAACAATATGAATACGAAGCCAATAAGATTACGAAGCCAATAAGATAGGAATAATGCATAAAGAAAACAAGTCAAAGAGTTGGGGTGATGTAGAAGAATAACAAAATAATAGGAAACCAATTGGATAGGATTAATGTACAAAGTTAACAATGAACGTATGAAGCCAAGAGATTATAGGACAACAGAGTATACACTGGGAAGGTAAATGCCTTGGTCCCGGTTAATGGCTGGCTTGGTTTAACATTCAGATCCAAAACTTTGCGAAACATTTGAACAAAAAACAAGAACACAACTTCAAACCGAACTTAACTTCCGGTCTGAAAAACGGAAATGTCCGAAGATTTCTGAGTGTTACAATGTTTTCCGAATGCATGTCGAACTACCGGTTTTGATCAGCATATCGCAATACGTATCGATTTCATGTCTGAACAGGTAAATACCGGTAAACCGGTTATATTGAGCAGCCATAATGGATGGTAGTCTTAATATGAGAGCAGTCTGACGGGATTCCAGGTGAAAATATGTCCATTCCTGGTGGGTCCCAGTAGGAGCTGATTACAATGGGAGTTTATCTGTATCATAATACCTGGTGGGTCTCTGTAGGAGCTGATTACATAATACCTGGTGGGTCTCAGTAGGAGCTGATTACAATGGGAGTTTATCTGTATCATAATACCTGGTGGGTCTCAGTAGGAGCTGATTACAATGGGAGTTTATCTGTATCATAATACCTGGTGGGTCTCAGTAGGAGCTGATTACAATGGGAGTTTATCTGTATCATAATACCTGGTGGGTCTCAGTAGGAGCTGATTACAATGGGAGTTTATCTGTATCATAATACCTGGTGGGTCTCAGTAGGAGCTGATTACAATGGGAGTTTATCTGTATCATAATACCTGGTGGGTCTCAGTAGGAGCTGATTACAATGGGAGTTTATCTGTATCATAATACCTGGTGGGTCTCAGTAGGAGCTGATTACAATGGGAGTTTATCTGTATCATAATACCTGGTGGGTCTCAGTAGGAGCTGATTACAATGGGAGTTTATCTGTATCATAATACCTGGTGGGTCTCAGTAGGAGCTGATTACAATGGGAGTTTATCTGTATCATAATACCTGGTGGGTCCCAGTAGGAGCTGATTACAATGGGAGTTTATCTGTATCATAATACCTGGTGGGTCCTGGTGGGTCTCAGTAGGGGCTGATTACAATTGGAGTTTATCTGTATCATAATACCTGGTGGGTCTCAGTAGGAGCTGATTACAATGGGAGTTTATCTGTATCATAATACCTGGTGGGTCTCAGTAGGAGCTGATTACAATGGGAGTTTATCTGTATCATAATACCTGGTGGGTCTCAGTAGGAGCTGATTACAATGGGAGTTTATCTGTATCATAATACCTGGTGGGTCCCAGTAGGAGCTGATTACAATGGGAGTTTATCTGTATCATAATACCTGGTGGGTCCCAGTAGGAGCTGATTACAATGGGAGTTTATCTGTATCATAATACCTGGTGGGTCTCTGTAGGAGCTGATTACAATGGGAGTTTATCTGTATCATAATACCTGGTGGGTCTCAGTAGGAGCTGATTACAATGGGAGTTTATCTGTATCATAATACCTGGTGGGTCTCAGTAGGAGCTGATTACAATGGGAGTTTATCTGTATCATAATACCTGGTGGGTCTCTGTAGGAGCTGATTACAATGGGAGTTTATCTGTATCATAATACCTGGTGGGTCTCAGTAGGAGCTGATTACAATGGGAGTTTATCTGTATCATAATACCTGGTGGGTCTCAGTAGAGTAGGAGCTGATTACAATGGGAGTTTATCTGTATCATAATACCTGGTGGGTCTCTGTAGAAGCTGATTACAATGGGAGTTTATCTGTATCATAATACCTGGTGGGTCTCAGTAGGAGCTGATTACAATGGGAGTTTATCTGTATCATAATACCTGGTGGGTCCCAGTAGGAGCTGATTACAATGGGAGTTTATCTGTATCATAATACCTGGTGGGTCTCAGTAGGAGCTGATTACAATGGGAGTTTATCTGTATCATAATACCTGGTAGGTCCCAGTAGGAGTTGATTACAATGGGAGTGTATCTGTAACATAATACCTGGTGGGTCTCAGTAGGAGCTGATTACAATGGGAGTTTATCTGTATCATAATACCTGGTGGGTCTCAGTAGGAGCTGATTACAATGGGAGTTTATCTGTATCATAATACCTGGTGGGTCTCAGTAGGGGCTGATTACAATGGGAGTTTATCTGTATCATAATACCTGGTGGGTCCTCAGTAGGAGCTGATTACAATGGGAGTTTATCTGTATCATAATACCTGGTGGGTCTCAGTAGGAGCTGATTACAATGGGAGTTTATCTGTATCATAATACCTGGTGGGTCTCAGTAGGAGCTGATTACAATGGGAGTTTATCTGTATCATAATACCTGGTGGGTCTCAGTAGGAGCTGATTACAATGGGAGTTTATCTGTATCATAATACCTGGTGGGTCTCTGTAGGAGCTGATTACAATGGGAGTTTATCTGTATCATAATACCTGGTGGGTCTCAGTAGGAGCTGATTACAATGGGAGTTTATCTGTATCATAATACCTGGTGGGTCCCAGTAGGGGCTGATTACAATGGGAGTTTATCTGTATCATAATACCTGGTGGGTCTCAGTAGGAGCAGATTACAATGGGAGTTTATCTGTATCATAATACCTGGTGGGTCGTCTCAGTAGGAGCTGATTACAATGGGAGTTTATCTGTATCATAATACCTGGTGGGTCTCAGTAGGAGCTGATTACAATGGGAGTTTATGTGTATCATAATACCTTATGATATGGATCAGTGATCATGACTGCTTGTTTGCAGAAGCTAGTCTAATTACTGCTTGAACATAGGATGCAGTGTGCAGTGTCAATTGGATGCCTGTTCATAAGGACTGAAGAATGGAAAATGATCAAGGTGCAAGAAATATATTAGTGATTATTTATATCAGTCTTATATCAGGCTTGTTTGTCTTTCCTTCCAGAACACTAAGCCTCATGAAGTCAGTTCCTAAAAACATCTCGGTCACCCTCATCACTGGGAACTACTACGATGAACAGATCCCCAGCCCCCTTAACAAGGTACTGGCCACACCCACCTGTAGCATCCAACATGTTAGGCCTGGTATCAGGGCCAACAATTAGTGGTAATAAGTAGAAACATTAACACTGTTTGGTGGTAATGCAACACTAGGCAATATTCCAGCTATGTGATGGTGGTCCGTAAATAATCGAGTGTGGACTAGACAATCCAGTGATTGATATCCTCAACCAAGTCACGAGCTTAACCACCTGTTTCCATTTACACTGGGGTAAAAAATACTTTTCTGTAGGTGAATATTCCCATGTGAGTTGTGTGTTTTTGTAACCTGTTTTAGGGGGGTGAATTTGGTGGAATAAATAAAGCACTTTTCAGATTATATTTTAGGGGCTGTGCAATAGAAAATAAACCAAGTCTTTCCCCAACATGCGTCTGCTGACTGAAAATTAAATTCTTTCAGGCATGGGCCAAGTCGGAACAGTCACTGATCTCCAGCGAGCTGCCCCACGCGACCCACATCGTGGTGAACGGAGCTGACCATCACATGCTGTACCGGGATCCCGCAGCGGTAGTGGAGCCAGTCGTCAAAATGATTAAACAATACAAACTGAGACACAAACAACAATAAACCATAGCACCATATATTTTACAGGTCATCACTGTATACACCATTGATCATTCAACCTGCAATTCCTTCATTTCTCAACATGAATCAGTAACATGTGGTCATGTTCATAACATGAATCAGTAACATGTGGTCATAGCAAATATCTATTCATACATCAGCATGCTCCCTTCAAATGATGAAGTTGTTAATGAAGTTGCTCGTCACGCCGAAGACCCTGGTTCCATTCCCCACTTGGATACAATATGTGAAGCCCATTTCCAGTGTACCCCACGGTGATACTGCTGAAATATTGCTACAAGCAGCATAAAACCAAACTCGCTCACTCACTCATTCAAATCATGAAATCCATCAATATTTGCTTAAGTTATCAGTTGTGCCAATAATACAATAAATGTTATCATACAAATCCCATTTAATTATGTTTGGTTTGTTTTGATGACTTTAATTTAACTTTGTTACTCACTTTAACTGTAATTAAGCAAATCAACAGTAAAATCTCAATGGTGCCATTCTGTGCAATGTAAGGGGAAAAAAGTCTGTACAAATCATGGGTTGTTATTTAATATTAAGGACATTTTCACTTGGTTATGTTTTGTGCATATTGACCATCACTTGTACAGTTCTGTTCATTTGGATGTGTTGCTAGGCAACTAAAGGAAGGAGAATAACATACATTCCATTGTTCATTGTGTTCATTCTGTAAAAATAAATTGGCTACATCTTTTTTTGAGAATTGTCATTTTTGTTCTGGATATAAAACGACATGATTACGAGATCACTATGATATCATAGTTTCAACCACAACTCCCTTGTTTGAATCCCTAACTGATAGTTGAAGACCTCTTGTCAAGGATAAAATGTCTTTCTATTATTAATACACACACACTTACAAAATGGCATTTACACATCAGAATCAAAATGCTTACGACAAAATTAATAAATTTCCCATATAATTAATTCATCCTTTCTATTACTGGGATGCTGTTTGTGACTACAAGGCCACACATGAAATATATTTTATTTTAAATGAAAAAGAGCATAACTACATTCCATCTTTGGAAATAGACATAACCACAATATAAGAACCTCACATTCCTAACAGACATTATTTAAAAAACTTGTTTCAACAAAGATGAACTTTATTCCTTTGTTACAGTTTCATCACATTTAATATAATCTTTATATTTTATTTCAAATTTGACTTCACTGAGACATAATGCATTGAGTCTGTTCCAACTGCCATCTACGCCAGCCTTTTCCAGGATTACCTTCCGTCGGAGCAGTCTGTCTGGGCTGAAGTACAGCACAACTGGTTGCTTCACAATGTCTTGGGGGTCTAGCTCCATTTCCTTCAACAAAATATCAAGGCAAGGTTGAATCTTCCTTGCTCGTAAATATTTCAGCTTGGTTGCCCGTATATGCATCGTCTTAAGAGTGTCTTCATCGATACCAAGCCTCTTCTTTAAAACACAATCGCAATCTTCACACCCATCCAGATAAACCAGCTCTAACATCCAAGTCCGAAGTGAGACCCGAAACTGAGATACGTTTGATCCCAATATTGTAAGTAAAGACATTTTGTTCAACACACTGTTTTCTTGGACCAATGCAAATCTTTGTCTTGCTAGCTTGAGACTAGCAATGAGAACTTGTGGTGACTCTTTGATCTGTTCCATTGTAAAACCATACTCGAGGATCATGTCAACAAGTTTATCAATTGCTGAAGGGGGGCGTGTCATCAAGTGTGTGTGCCCCTTGTCAATCATGTCCAGCACATCTGAGAAGTCACAATTTAATTTCCAGGCTACAAAGTGAACCTTACTTGGATGATCTCCTAGAATAGAAAGTTCTTTTCTATATAAAGCAATTCTTCTCCTGAATTCACGTTCGGGAAACATACACCATTCTCAATGAGAAATGATATTTTCGCACAGTTTCCATTTCCGCCAACCTCCTTTTTGAATCATTGTAACTTCTACAAAACACTGCTGGGTAGGTGGAGATTTCTTCTGGGCTGAATCCAAAGTCTAAAAACATTTGCATCTTAGCACTGATCTGTTCATAGGTGAAACTTGTCACCAGCCGAGTGTCAGCTTGGATCAAGGATTCCACAATAACTCTTGGACATTTCATTATGGTAGCAAAGCCATCGATTTTATCAGAATGTTCCTGCATCACCTTCTGTATCTCTGCATCAAAACGTTTAGGGATGCGGTCTGTAGCAGAGAACACTTGGTGACTCGTGTTCTCTGTTGTTGCATCTTTGTGTGTGCACAGCATCCTTGGCCTCAAGACTGAATTATCAATGCGCCGCAACATGACAGCAGGATCGGTGCGCGCCTCAATAATGCAGCACCCACCAGCCTCCAGGACTTGACCAGACATGATGTGGCCATAGTTACCCCTTGTCAGTTCGACCTTTGTTATTGCTGAAGTAAAAAACAAGTTTGTTAATAGCATGTCTAAAGTTTTAAGTGAAGAGTGAGTTTAGTTTACGCTGCTTTTAGCAATATTCCAGCAATATCATGGCTGTGGACACCAGAAGTTGGCTTCACACATTGTACCCATGTGGGGAATCGAACCCGGGTCTTGGGCATAATGAGCAAATGCTTTAATCACCATCTACCCCATCACCCCTCAAGTTTGAAAGCAGGAATGGAGGGGTATATTTTACTAAAAATGATTAATGCATGAGTAGGCAAGGAGAGATTTGGGATGTTTTTCAGAATCAGCAATATTAAAACTTAAACCAGACTAAGGCCATTTGTATGCTATTTTCAGTGTGACAAGTTTTCCTGCCCAAAATGCATTGTGTCAGATTGTATACTCTGATAAATAGACGAACAAGGTCTGAGAGTGAGCCCATTAGCATGATTAGGGCTGGGACAATAAACTATGTCACAATACAATACATATCGCGATATTTTACCTGCGATACGATACATATCACTATACATACACCTTGAAAGAATGACACAGTATTAAGATTCAAAATGATTTATTTCAAGGTATAACAATAACACTATTGTAATAAACAAACAAGTAACTCTATCATACTTATGTATTTTTCTCTAAAAATAAGTACTTTAACATGTTTAAGATAATACTGTTTTGAAAAATGTATCATTTTGTATCGATACACCAGTCGATGATAAGATAACTGAATCAAACTTAAATGTACCGTGGTGCATCGGTGAATCGTCCCAGCCCTAGAGGCCATGTCCCCATATTGACATGTGGAACACACTATTGAATGTGACAGGCCCTGGTGTAGTTGTTGGAATCACTGGGACTTGTAACACATAATACTGGCATCAAGGTATATAAAGTCACTTAGCACTATATTAAGAGGATGCTAAGACCCCATCAGTGACTATGTATACCTTGATGCCATAATTTTGCTTTACAAGCCCCTGTGGCTGGTTTACACAACACAAAAGAAGTAAAAGAACATCTGATTCTTTCATATATCTATGTCATGTAGGAATATATTAACCAGATCTATATATAGTAAGGGACCGTTCATAATGTATGGCTAGGGGGTGTGATGATGATATTTATGGAGGAGCATGTACAATGTGAATGATCCCCCCTAAAATTTATGTACAAAGTAAGTGAGCCCCCCCTGCATGCCATGTACAAAATCAATGCCCCCCTCCCCCTTCCATAATATCTAAGCATATTTTTTAAATATATATATGTACAAAATTGCTGACCCCACCTAGTACATGTGTACAGAATTGCTGAACCCCCCCGCTACCTCCCCTCAAAATCATCATCACCCCCACTAGCCATAAATTATGAACGGTGCCTAATATGCAACAATATGGAGCTATTTAGAGTGCATTGTCTTGTGTTCTTTAACTTGTTTTCCGTAACATAGGTCTATTTCTGGGTCAATGAATACGCCTATTATACAGTGTCAGAAATGGCCAGTACTATAAATCTATAAGTCGTTACACATATAGGATAGTAACTTCGGACACTCGAGATATCAAAATATATCGAAATATCCAAGCCAGGCATACAAGAGCCTGTGCTATTGCACCAAAGTAAAGAGGCTATTTCTGGTCTAGAGTATAGTAAAGCATCGTTTGATGTTTTCCATTTTGGAAGTTTGAAGTATGCATCTGAATGATACACATCATGCCCGTTGTTAGCGTAACCAGAAACGAGGACTACTGAGTGCGCTGACAGTGATACAGTTTTCGCTCACACACGTGACCAACATACCTCCAACTTGACTGACTTGGAAATCGAAAACAACCCAACCAGAGTTCTGAGATCTTTGGGTCTCATGACTTTTGATATGTAGATCTATATATCTGTTAAAGTACCAAGGCAAATAGTTCCAACATCGTCCTTGCTTTCGTCTTCGTTTCGTAACTTGCTGAATCAAGGCAACATGAGGCAGCGAGAGAGTTGCTCAAGGGAGGCAATAACAATGTGTAACGGTAGAGCGCCCGTACTCAAGGGACGAATGATTAGTTGGCGAAAAGTTGGTTGGTTTGTTGTTTAACGCCACATTCAGCAACATTCCAGCTATATGGCGGCAGTTTTAAAATAATCGAGTCTGGACCAGACAATCATCCAGTGATTAACAGCATGAGCATCGATCTACGCAATGGGACACGATGACATGTGTCAACGAGCCTGACCAACCGATCCCGTTCGTTGCCTATTACGACATGCACGTGCTACTGAAGACCAATTCTAACCCGGATCTTCACGGTTCTTGGCGAAAAGAAAAAACATAATTTGTCTTTTGCGGCCTTTTCTAATTTCCCATCATGCATCTGATGAAAAGTTCACCAACGCTGCAGAGCCCAGATAACGTCCATGATTTACCCCAGGGCTTGGTGACCACTCTTATGTGATTTGCTAGCCCATTCATGATTCTTGTCCAACGCAAATAATGTTATGTTTTCAGGAAATAATCATTAGAGCAGTAAGTATCAATACTGACAAATACTTGAATTGGATAAAAGATGGGGCTGTTTAATCATTTCGGAAGGACCTTAACTCGGACTTGTATTTTGTCAGAAAGGTGCCTGCATGATTGTTTTTCAGTTTATTTATGTTTCATTTAACGATTTGCAAATGGAATATGGGTTGATATTTGTACTGAATGAGTAAACAAGTTTGGTTTACGACAGCTTTCAACAGCGTTTAACTGAGCTTTATACCGTGTGTTATTTTGTGTGGGAGGAGAGCTTGGCTCACATTGATTAGGATTCCACATTGGTACAAAGAACGGGCACCTGCATGGTTCTGACTTACCAAGAAATATTATCGGATCGGCTGAAGCGTTCGAAACCATGATCGTCGCATCTTTACGTGAGATAATAACCGGTTACTATAATACTGGTTAACAAGGCTAAGCTTGTGGAGACATGTCGGAGAATACAGCTAAAATCTTGCAGATTATTCGGTATTGAACTAGAACATCGCTGATTGCAACTCAGCATTCTCATCAGTTACCCCTGTTGAAATGAATTTATCTCTTGTAGAGTATTGCTTTACGGCCTTGTGCTGAAATAGGAGAACCCCCTGTCCATCACTTCCTTAAAGGTAGTGCCTATATAATAATGTGTTGTTTATTGACCATAAATTGGTTTTTGAGAAGCGGAATTTACATTTCAATGAACATGTCACTTGCAGTGTTTCCGTTACTATGACACGAAGCACTCCTGCGAATCTGCCTGTACAAGTATTCCTAAAATGAAGACGTAAGAGCAAAGCATAGCAAAACAAGGGCGACAACTCCTGCAACCTTCAATGTCCTATCATGATACCAATGACTACCACTCAAGCTCGACACTATTTTGTAATATTGTATTTTTTCAGACGTGTTGTCATGTGGGGGCGTCCTTGAAAGAAATAGATACTTTGGAAGCACCTGTTAGGATTTATTTTGTTTGTTGTTTAACGTTCAGCTGTATGACGGCTATCTGTAAAACTTTTCTAGGTGGGACCATACAATCCAGCGATTAATCACGCGCCTCATTCTACGCAATCAACAAAGTCACCAAGCCTGACTTCACCATCCATTAATATAGTCACTTCAATGGAAAGACATTGGTTTCTGGGAACCTACATTTGTTTCCGGGATCCACACTGGTGAAAGGGTAAATACGAAGTGGTAGCTTGGCATTCATGATAGCGAAACACTTTTCCCGTGTTTACCCGTTAACTGTATATATTTAGTTTCAAATTGTGGATTTTGTGGTTTTTCTATAAAGTCATTGTGTAAAATTGCGTTGAACACCGTGAGGATCAGGATAAGTGATCTTCATGAACCCATACGAGTCGTCAGAGGTGACTAACAGAAACGGATGGTCGCTGACGTGGTTGACAGATGTCATCATAACCCAGTTGCGTAGATGGATGCTCGTGATATCAATCACTGGGTTGTCAGGACCAGAGTCGATAGTTTACAGGACGCCGTCATATGGGTGGCCATGATATTGCGGAGTTACGTATGTGGCGTGGACAAACAAACAGCATCCAATATCATGAAGCTCTGACACGGATGGGCACTCAGGGAACACAAGGGTGATCATGCCATGAGTATTGCCTGATTTGTCTATAAAGAACATCGATAAATCGCAACGGAAAGAAAATCGGGCGTGTAAAGTTTTACATTTGTATAAGCAGTCATCCTGGTCCGTTAAACACATATCTGGTGACGGAGCCAAGGACATTGATAAGGCTTGATTATCCATTTCATTAAATCAGATCTTTCACTCGGTAAGCAACCTCTTCACGCAAGGTATTGGATTGGATTGGATTTGAATGAGAATGTCGTCATAGGCATAACATGTTGTGGTTTTCCTTAACCTACTCCAACATCAAACGCACTGTTTATTCATTCCAAAATGCACAAGTTTAGTATCTGGTCATACCCGGTTTACCAATTGCAGAGGGTACAGCATAAACTAAATTATAAGAGAAGCGTACATAAAATACACACATTTCGTTGTACATAGAATAATAACTTATCTCTCATTTCTTTTTCAAATTGAAATGTAGCTGATTATTTGTTTTAATGTGTATCACGTCCGACTCACAAACCATCAAATACTAGTAATATTCATTTCATACAAAACCGGTATATGTATATGCCATGACTCGTGTATGGTAGACCCAAGGGTTCACACAGTACAGATCATGGAAATGTCTTCAAAGATCAGTATATGTCTTCAATGATCGGTACATGTACATAAGTCGACCTGTCATCTGCTCAGGCCGTGTGAAACAGTTAACTCAAGTGGCGTGATGACAATTAAGACACAATGAGTCATCCAAAGCTTTCACAATCATGACGTCGAAGATTTTAGTTCACTCTTCAAGAAAAGAACCCCGTTAATCATGTCGTGGTTTTTTTGTATTGCACGCAAACGAATCCCAAAATGTGTTTGTAAACGTTTGTCATAAAAAATGAAAACGATGCATGATAAATGCATGCAGTAAAAGTTTTTGACGCGAGGCACGTGGAATGTGTCGGAAACATGAGTAGAGACATCGACTAGTAAAGGCCAAACCAAATTCATCATTTCATTTCGAAATTTACGACGTAAAGGAAGATAAAAATACCACCATTGAATGCTACTGACCAAAATATCGCCACAGGACGTTTGGAAACCCAGACCCAGCCTGCCGTTGCAAGACCGATCCGTCCACCACAACGTCAATGCCCTTCCAAATAGCATGATCTCTACCCGATCGAGCATCTATGGGACGAACTTGATAGACGCGTCCGTAAACGTCACCATCGTCCTCAGACACTTGCAGAACTTGCCAACGCGTTGCAGGAGGAATGGCGAAGAATTCCCTCAGCAAAAATCCTGTGACTTGTGTAATCCCTTCCAAGGGGGTGTCCAACAGCGACAGCTGCAAGGGTTGTTGTCACCTGGTACTGATCTGAACGCCCCCTAGTGTCCACACATGTGCAGTGAGTGAACTGTACACTTAAATACGTTTAATACTAGTACATTTCCGTACTTTTGGCCTGTGCGTTTCTTTTTTTGAAGAGTTTATAAAGCCAAACACTGTTTGTTCGAGTTGAAAGGATCTACATAAATATTTTGTGTTATCCTAAATTTGCACAGCCGCGAAATGGTGTACAATGAAGGAAAATTGTTTGACACAACTGTACAATAAACAAATTCTTCAAGACATTCAAGTGAAGCAGGTGTAATGTGTCATGTTGAAAATGAAATAAGAGAGAAATGGGTGAGTACTTAGACACAGGAATCTGAATTGACAGGAATGAATTTTATGTATCTTTTCACAAGATCGCATTGCTTTCTATATTTCAAAGATGTGTTTTAAAATAAAAAGGCCAAGTACATTCATTATTTCATTTTACTGTGATTCAAGCTATGTGAGCCTGATCATATCACCACCTGGACTATGCTTCTGAAGATCCAGGGGCCGTTTCACAAAGCTATTGACTGTCGTAAGTCTATGTTACAGTACAGAAGTTATAGACCGTCCTAGTGCTATGATAGCTTTGTGAAACGGGACCCAGGTTAGGATTGATCTTCAGCAGCCAATGCTTGTCCTAAGAGTTGACATTATTGGTGGGCAGGCTGTTGATGCATGTCATTGTATCCCAAATGCATAGATCGATGTTCATGATGTAAATCATTGGTTTGTCTGGTCCAGACGCAATTATTGTCATCATATAGCTGAAACGTTTCTGAGCGTGGCATTGAAAAACTAACACAAGACAAACTTAAAGCATGTGCGATGATAAAGACAACAGTGTTCAAGTGAGACAATCAGCAGCACAAGCTGGTGCTCATTTTCTTGCTTTGACACACTGATTGGGTCCTTAACACAGTCAGAAAAGTCACACCTTGTATCCACCACTCATCCTCTGCAGCTTGCTCTTCTAATATGCAGTTCTGACTTCAAGGACACAATTAGTGAAGTCATGCATTGTTTCCAATGCTGTGGCCTCATTCAAATGTCTTGTATGAAAATAAGGGACAGATTCCACCTCGAAATCCCCATTCACTGACAGCCATTTAGACTTGAGGCTGAGTGTGTGCAGGCCATCTTAATGTAGAGTGTTGTAGCTGTTCTGTGATCTGTCATTTAAACCATTCTCTGCATGACTGTGTAATTTGTAAATGTTTTCCCTTGGTTGGCAAGCAGCTGTACAAAAAATGCCTTATCAATGCCCTCTTGGGTCAGCTCATCAGAAATATCTGATACCTGCAAGGTTGGAAATAAAACTAAAACAATTGAATTATGTAACAAATTTAATACAAGAAAACTTTAAATTATCACAGTATGTACATTGTTCCGTACCAGTTTCTTGCTCATAGACAATTTTATTTGAGGATTACTGTATCAGTGCTTCCTTATGGTTTTCCGTAGATTGTCTAACATGTTCTTGAGGGTGCAACCAATCAGGCATCATCCATAATAGAAAAACCCCTGAAGTCATTGTTTGCTTATTATGACAGTAATGAATTTTCTGAAACTTTGGTACCATCTTCTAAGACATGAAATATGGATATGAGTTTTACAATTACTTGCCAAGGAAATAATATTTTCAATTTTTCAGCCTTAGCTTCATAGTGTAAATATTTAGCATAAGAAAAAAAAAATCTCATTTCATTTGATAAATATTTTTAACTGATAGGTGCTTTTAGCTTCTGACTGTGAAAAAGAAACCCAACTCAAAGCAAACAAAGCAGTCCTCACATAGGGAAGAAACTGGTAGGACTATGAAGTAATTATGTGAATATTTAGCACTTTGTCCTGAGCCAATAAAAATCCTGAAATAACTCATCTCCATATCCTGTTTGATAATGTTTGTTTTTGCATATGATATATCTTAAGAGCTGCTTTGTATATTCTATAGTCAGCTGATAAAGCCTTTCTCACATACACATCATCTGATAGTGTGTAAGGGTCATTTTCATCATAAATATCAGACTGTCTTTGGTAAACACTGTTGGCACTATTATCAAAGCTGCCATGATGAGACTCTGATAATGTCTCCTTCCTATCAAAATGTTTGCATTTTGTGAATGGCAGTTTGTAAACCTTTTCAAACACTTCCAGTGAGCCTTGTGGGTCATCCAGCAATCCAATGACAGCAAACCAACTCTGTAAATGGCTGATTATGTAGTTCACAGCATGAGACAAATCGGTGGATGATAATTTATCCAGGAATATTTTTTGTTTCATCCAACAAGGCATATCTTTCTTTTCAAACAGGAAACCTTCAGGAAGAGTAAAGTTGAAGTTAAATGTACGATCACTGGCACAGAAGTTGATATTCAACATCAGCTGATGAAACAGGACACTTCCCTGGTTTAAGATCCACTCTCGTAATGTCATCTTATTGGCATTAAAACCCTGGCATATTTCGTCCTCATAAGTCTCTTTGCAATATTCGTAACTAGATATCGCTTGTTGCATAGGCTCCCGGAGAAGAAGAAAGTAGGAACAAGGGCTGTCCACCTTTTCACAGACTCCAAACACGTATCTCCCAGAATGAAATTTCAACCGATGTCGGAATTTCTCCAAATTGTCCTCGCCACGTTCCCACAGGAGTCGATTTTTACTTGTCATAAGTGGCGACATTGCGATATGTTTCTTAATAGATATTTCTCTTAAACATTCAATAACTCTGTATCCCCCTGCTCTGGGGTAGTGAATAAATGCTATATTTGCATCTCTGTATTTGTAAAAGTTGTCTGTATGAGAACCACTGTTCAGAAAATAATTTGGTAATGTGTTGTTTTTAGGTAACCATGGGAACCTTTCTGTCACAACAGACAATGCTTCCTTCTCCAGTCTGGACAACACTGCCTCATTCTTCTGCTGAATCGCTGATAGGGATCTCACAACTCTCACAAGATCCGCTTCCTCTCTGGAAACAACAAACATGAATCTTAAGGTATGCAACAACAGTGAACTCTTGCCTGTATTACTAATACCTCCCGACAGTGTGGAATGCACAAAGCATAAGTTTGTGATGTTTGGATAGGTTGGGATATAAACATCAACATACACTGGTTATTCTGTATCCTGCAGTCTATCTCTGACTGGTAATACGAATCTACAAACACACAGAAGAGTTCTTGTTATACTTTGTAAACAATGTTATTCATCCTGACTGGCTGCCTCTAATTTAGAGCATTTAGGCTTTCTTATTTATAGACTGAATGACTGGTTGAACACCTGAAATGAATACAGCAAATCAAATAGCATTCTTTGACAACAATCCAACAATTATTGAGATGTTTGACTTCTGTTTAGTCATGGTTGAAGGGGGAACAAATCAGTCATCTACACCAGCTAGGCTAAAACTTTTGATACAATGTCCAATAGCAACAAAATTTCCGAAAATATGCTCATGGAAACAAAAAAGGGAACACATGAAAGTAAAAAGTGTTCCTTTATTCTTTTCCAGGTTTCGTCACAAGGTATTGCATTGTGAGTGAAATTCTGGAAATAAATAAAGGAACATTTGTACTTTCATGTGTTCCCTTATTTGTTTCTATGAGTATATATGAAGTGATTATCACCATAATTTCATTTAAAAAAATACCAGATATTTACATAGAACAAATACCACAGAAATACACACAACTTCTTTGAGTGGCATTTTAGAAGTTGGGAAGTACAATATAGAACAAACTTCATGGATAACAACTTTTTTTATTCGTGAGTGCGACGTTTCGATACAGAATCTTGTACCATTCTCTACAACGGTACAAGAATCTGTATCGAAACGACTCACTCACTAATAAAAGAAGTTGTTATCTATAGTTTGTTCTATATAATACACACAACGCCAGACACACTTCTTTCATTGTCTACCAATACAGAGAGGAGAGTGTACACATTTAGTACTGTCACCAAGCAAGTACTGTCCTGGGTTTCTCAAGGTGTGCTATAGCTGCTCTCCAGATCCTAGAGAATAGAGGTGAAACGGTACACTCTTACCACGGTACGGTACGTACTGCGGGACTTCGGTTCGGTATATGAGGTATGATCATAATGCAGAAAATTAACAAAAAAGAACTAAATCTCACCGAAATTGCATAGAATTTGACAAAATGATTCGATTTCTAGACATTTTAGAAAAGGTTTAAAGAGGTTTAAACCGAAAATACCAATTTTTGGATTGCATTACGGTATACCGAACCAAAGGCAAAATACAGCAGTTCTACTAATACCGCGGTATACCATTTCACCCCAACTAGAGAATCAATAAAAACATGTCTCCCTGACCCTGGAGAATTAAGCAAGCCTAAATTAACTCAGCTATAAATAGAGTGAGTGAGTGAGTATGGTTTTACGCCGCTTTTAGCAATATTCCAGCAATATCACAGCGGGCGACACCAGAAATGGGCTTCACATATTGTACCCATGTGGGGAATCGAACCCGGGTCTTCGGCGTGACGAGCCAACGCTTTAACCACTAGGCTACCCCACTGCCCCAGCTATAAATAGAGACATGTCTCAGTTATTATTAGTTATACATGTCCATTGCTGTCATGAGTTCACACACAAGAGATACATATTGTTTCCCACGTCATTATACTACATATGTTTTGTGAAATTGTAAATCATTAATGTGTGGAATGTATCTGTGTATTTCTATATCTTTGTACCTACTGTGTATATCTTTGTAGTTTACAGAATATTGACACTGTTCCTTCATGGAATGTTATGCAATATAGATCTTATCTTATCTTACAAATTAAAGGTAACCAGAAACTGCATATTAACCAGAAATATATTTGGCATATCCTCTCATTGGTGAAAAATACCCTAGAGGCATGACCCAAGGTAGTAAAAATAAACTGAATTTGGAAAGGCAACTATCTATACCCCATTTGAAAGATAATTTAGGGGTAAACACTCAATGGCTCCAAGAGAAGATATCTGGATTGTGTATACAGGACCCTCAATAAATCTGTAGGCATATGTTTTCACCAAAGTGTTTCCTGAATCAGAAGTTCTCACAACTGTCTCACAAAAGAGTATTAATGATTGATTCCAGCAATGTGTGATCTTGTAGCCAGCAGTGAGCAACATTACCAGTCCTACAGTCTGAAAGGCTTCTCCCTGTAACACCCCTGACGATCTCCCAGGCAAAATAACTTGAACAGAAGCATGTGGCTGTCAACCACAGCTTGAGACCAGCAATTGGAAGAGACAGAGTGTTTTTAATGAACCTATTGGTAGTGACAGAGACCAATAGGAATCAGAGCTGATGGAGACATCAGGCTGTATGAGCCGACAAGGGAATGCCAGCCAGCTGGTGCATCTTGGCAACACACATACCACACTAATCCTGGACAAAAAATACACATTACGACCATGCATATGTAATCTGTTTGTTTGGATGCATAATTACCTTTCTGATGCTAGTTTTTGATAAATGACCTGGTAAATGTATGAAGATGTTCATGGTTCTCAAAATGTTTTTATCAGAGGGACACTGTTTAGTTCATTATGAAATCAAGAAGAATTACTTCTACCAATAATCCACAGTTATCGCAAAGAGATACAGTCTGTAAAAAGAACAGTTATATTTTCTGACAGTTATCCAAAAACAATTTCAAATGTATATTCTTTTTCTTTGTAATGTACCTGTGTATTTTGTACCTAACGGTACTATGCATATATTTCTAGTTTCTAGAATACTGCTACTCTTTCTTCATGGAATGTTACAGAATAAATATCTTATTTTAAAACAGCCCATGGATGTTTACTACAGGTATGTAAACAACTTCAGTAATGTTAGGGCCAAAGTACCCTGTATCGGACTCAGTTGTATCAATACACATTCCACTGAATTAAGATACAGCTACAGTCTTCTAGACCATTCATGCCTCTAAACATGTTATTGTATTGACTAGTATAAGGTGCGTTTACTAGACTGACAGAATTTTACAAAGCTTTGGCTTAGTGGTAGATTACCATTTAGTCCAAGAAATGAAGTTATCTTATTCAAAAATACATATCTACAAAATAAAATATAGAATCTAAATGGAACCCAGAACGATTCTTAATTTCAGAACTTGCCAAATTACTGTACTTGACAGGAGTTTATTCATTTTTAATTTATTCCCTAGGGAAACGGTCACAGACTGCAGTGATTATTTCTAAATTAGCTGGCTGAGAATACCAATCCCCTGGGACAACTTTATCAACAGGTCCACCACTCTGGATTTAACATATTTTATTTTTTTATCTTGGAAATATAACATTGCTACTAACAATACACTTTGTGCATCATGATATCGTCTATAATTAAACATGTATTGTCTAAAAGGATGTATACTATGATTTGAAGAAGATGTGTTCTGAGGTTTGTATATGAATTGTAAATACCATTTTTGTGGTATAGCCTATGTGGCTATAGATGTTAATTCGAGGTATATCTGACTGAACTGGATCTCCAGTTTGTTTGTTATGGTGTTTATTCCATGACTTCACCTGTTATTCCCTGTCATGTATCATTGTAGCACTCATCTGATGACAAGTTAAAGGTATCCTCCATGTGAGGAGAGGTTTTTCATGTCAACAGTCCCTGTTATCATCGTATGGGTGAGCACTGAGAGTGAGATATTTGAGCGTATTCCCTGGTAAGAACACTCCTCCCTAATTAATCTCTGAGGTGAGCCCGAAGTCACCATCCATTCCCTACCTCCTGTGTTAGCTGATTACTGAGAGACTGCAATAATTGGTCTCTCTGTTACCACCTATCACAAGCAATGACTTGAAGATGAGAAACTACAGCCAGTTACAGAAGGGTGCTAAAAATACAAAATGACAGCAAAGTAATTACTCCAAAAATAAACCATATGATAAATGGAGCACTTTATGTTCAACTGATGAACAAATGCTTGAAGCAGCGTAACCCCACAAGTTCTAGTGATTCTATGTTCCTGCCAATCTTGCTAGGTTTTGTTCCAAATCCATTGTTTTAGATTTGTAATCTATAACCACACATTAATTTTCATAAAAATATGAAATAATCATTACTATGGAAAATAAATAATTTCCCAGTAAAATTATCAGAAATCATTTGTACGGAATAACAGTGATAATCACAAAACTTCTTATATTCTTTTACTCAACATATCAGGTCTCATAAAAGAATCCAATAAATATCACTTGAAAAGTGCATTGTGGTATACCTAAGAAGTTCACATATGGCAAGTTGACACAATTGATGGATAACATCTTCTAAATAGTTGATACAAAAGTAATGTCTACTCTGTAGTTAAAATCTGCTTCATCCAAATTTTAAAAATTATCCCCTATTTCCCAGCTTATAATTTACATTCTGTTATGTTAAATACATGGACACATTTGCAGCTGTATTTGTAGTTTAATCAGATTCAAAATAGCTGATGCAAAAATGAACCATCTAATCTAATGACACACATGAACACAGGATATTCTTTGTGAAGACACTGGTAAGGCAGACAGAGATTGGATGGTGTTGCTTCAACTGGGCCTTTATTCCTCGGAGTGATGATTTTAACACTAGGGTGTAGTGACTATTTCAACAAAGACAGTCAAAGCTCAGTGGAATAGGCCTAGGGTATTTCTCATGATGGAATGGAGGAAGAAGACACAAAATTCTTAAGGATGAATAAAACTATATCCATGGAACTTCCCTCTTTGAAACTGCATCAATGTACAACTGCTCCAGTTGTTGTAAGTCAGCATTAAGTGTGACAGTTATGATTACCTTGGTGTTAATATCACTTAGCGGAAAGTCTCTGAGACACTGAGACATGACTGATGACTAGTAGTCTGTCTCACAGTCCCTGAACCACACTATTTTCCCTACTGCCCAGCCCCCCCTACAATGCTAGCCCTATATGAAGCAAGTCTAGATTT